GTGTGTGTGTGTGTTGGCATGACCGCAGTTGAGCCTCACTACCAATGCCCTCCCTTCACCACTGGTCCCCTGGATGTCTGGTCCCTGACACAGTGTGGCGGTTAATAGCACCTAGAGCCAGGCTGCCGGGGTTCAAATCCCACCTTTGCTACGTCCTCACTGGGTGGCGTGTTGGGTCCCCATCGTGCTCCCACCTCAGTGTCTGCCAATAGGACAAATCACCGAATCCTGGACATGATCAGGACTAACCTTAGCATGGACCAAGTTTTAAACATTTAATTAGTTGCCTACTGTGTGCCCAGCACAGAGCGAAGTGCTCTAGGGGCGTTCATTCCTGGGAGCGGGTGCATTGTGAAGTGGGAACAACAGAGACTCAGAGAGGTGAAGCCACAGGCCTGAGGCCACCCCACGTTCATCACCCTCCCTGCCTCTGCCTTCCTGTGTGGGGCGGCGGAGACTCCAGCACTCACCCCTCTGGGCTCCTTGGGACCCTTGGCGTTTATTCAGGCAGGTGCCTCACTCCCTGTCTGTGTTTTTCTTGGCAAAGTGGGGCGGGGCAGTGGTAAATGGAGAGGGCCTGTCCCAGCCACTGCCCCCCTCCATGAATGTGCGCTCAGTGGGGTCAAAGTTTTAAGTTTTCATGAAAATCAAAATCTCAAAAAATCGTGCCCTGGCCGGTGTGGCTCAGTGGGTTGGGCGTGACAAGAGGTCACTGGCTGGATTCCTGCTCGGTGCACATGGCTGGGTTGTGGCTCTATCCTCGGTGAGGAGCGAGTGGGAGGCAGCCAATCGATTGATGTTTCTCTGTCGTTGATGTTTCTCTCTCCCTCTCCCTTCCTCTCTCTAAAATCAATAAAAACATATTTAAAGAAATCTCAAAAACATTTAGTAGGTTATTCTCTCACTGTTTAAATGTGGGAAAGTAACTGTGTAAGTGTAAACTATCCCCATTCAGAGGGTATACTATTATTTATTAGACGATTGTTTGCAATAGCAAACAGCTGTAAATGTCCATCCGGGAGAAGTGGTTAAAAGAACGGGGGCCCAGCCAAGCAGTGGAATGCCACGCAGCCATGGAGAAGACACCCTGCGTGTGCTGGATGTGGAATACCTGGAGACACACCTGGGCCAGTGAGCAAAGCAAGGTGTGGAATGGCATGCGCGGTGTGCTGTGTTTGCGGAAACCAGAATGCGTGTCCACACACTCTGTACTGGCATAGACCCTCCTAGGAGAGTCACACAGGGAACCTTACACCCTGGGTGCCTGGGAGGGAGCTGGCTGTCTGGAGCCAGGGGTGGGAGGGGTCTCACTTTTCACTTTTTGTACCTTTTGAATTTTGAACCACGTGAATGTATTATCTATGCAGGAAAAAAAAAGTGAAATAAAGTAGACAACAAGACATCTCAAACAGAAAGATAGATACCAGGCCAGCTGGCCCAGTTGGCTCCCGCCCCTGGCCCCACCCTCGGGCAACCACGAACCGCATTCTAGGCTCTGCCCAGCTTGGTTTTGTGGCTCCACCCTCTACGGTAATATTTTGGTTTCCACACGTACAGCACCCACAGGAAACCCCAGCCAATGGGCATCAGGTTCCAGGCTGGGCCTCCTGCCAAGGTTGTTGGTGGGCATGACACAGCTCCAGGAATGGTGTCTAAATGCCTGAGTGATGACGCAGCCACATGGAAGGCTGACACTTCCCACAGTCTCACAGGCCCTGCTGGGCTGGGGTTTGTCTTGCAACCTCCAGGTGGGTGTGTGGGTACTTCCAAACAGGCATACCATCAATGAGCTCTGAACCTTCGGGCACTGAATCCATCCATCCACCCATCCACCCATTCATCCATCCACACATTCATCCATCCATCCATCCATCCATCCATCCATCCATCCTTCCTTCCATCCACCTACCTACCCATCCACCCATCCATCCATCCATCCATCCATCCATCCATCCATCCATCCATCCAATATTCATTAAGACCTACTATGTGCCAGTTCTCTTCTAGTCACTGAAGGTACAGCAGATAACAAAACAGATAGAATATCCTGCTCTTGTGGAGTTGACATTCAGGTGGAGAGATAGGCAATACCCACCAGAGACTGGAAATGCTGTGGAGAGAAATGAAGCAAGGAAGAGAGGTGGGGGGCTCTAGGTTCCCCCCTTCTTATTGAGGTATAATTGATAAACAATGAAGTTGACCCATTTTAGATACACAATTTAGTGAGTTTTGACAGTTGTATGTATCTGTGTATCCACCACTTCAGACAAGTTATAGCCTATTCCTATCGAACTGTAAAGTTCCTTCACTCCCCCCTGGCAGCCATTCTCCACCTCCTACCCACTTCCCGTCTAAAAACTGCTAGACAGGCCCTGGCCTGTTTGGCTCAGCGGATAGACCATTGGCCTGCGGACTGAAGAGTCTCAGGTTCGATTCCAGTCAAAGGCACATGCCCAGGTTGGGGCTTGATCTCCAATGTGGGGTGTGCAGGAGGCAGCCGATCAATGATTCTCTCTTATCATTGATGTTTCTATCTCTCCCCCTCTCCTTTCCTCTCTAAAATCTATCTATCTATCTATCTATCTATCTATCTATCTATCTTTCTTTCTTTCTTTCTATCTATCTATCTATCATCTATCTATACACACACACACACACACAGAAACTGCTGGTCAGTTTTCCTTCACTGTCGATTGGGTTTGTCTTATTCTGAGGTTGATGCAGGTGGAATCTTGCTCCTTTCTTCCAGCATCATACCTTGACGGTTCATCCATGTTGTGTGTGTGTTCGTTTGTATTGCTGAGTAGTATTCCATGTTATGGATGGCCCATTCTGGTTTATTCATCAGCCTGTTGAATGGACATCTGGGCTGTTCCCATTTGGGGCTGTTACAAATAAAGCCACTCTGAACATTTGTGTACAACTCCTTTGTGCGCATGTTTTCATTTCTCTTGGGTAAGTGCCAGGAGTGGATTGGCTGGGCCTAGTGGTAACTTAGCTAGAAGTGGGGATCGTGCTGCTGTTACAGAGGGCAGTCAAGGCAGCTTCCACTGACCAGGGGACACGTCAGCAGAGGCTGGAAGGAGGCGAGCGGCCTCGTAGAGCTTTGGTCTGCAGGGTGAACTGAGCTAAGGGGCTGTGCCTGGGTGTGTTTGAGAGCAGCGTGGAGATCAGTGTGGCGGGAGTGGAATGAGTGAGGGGGGAGGGTCAGGAGGTGGGGTCAGTGCTGGACAGTGTAGGCCACGGTGAGGACATTGGCTTTTATGCTGAGAGCCCATGGAGGGTTCTGAGCAGAGGTGGGACAGGATCAGACTTGTATTTTAATACCCTTCCCCCATCCCCGGGCTATCCCAGGCTGCCAATGGAGAATGGGCTGCAGGGCAGCAAGGGAGGGAGCAGGGAGGTCAGCGAGGAGGCTACTGCAACAGTCCTAGCAGGAGAGGCAAGAGCAAGGATGGAGGGCAGGGGGCGGAGGGTGAGGAGTATCAGTTTCTGAATCTCCTACAAGGGAAGTATTGCTGCAGGAGGTGAGGGACACAGGGACCTGAGGTGGCTTCTAGGAGTTGAGAGTGACCTCCAGCGAACTGCCAGGGGGAAATGGGTCCCTCAGACTGGTAGCCACCAGGAACCGAACTTTGCTGATTACCCGCATGACCCTGAGCCTCCACAGAGGAGCACAGCCCAGGCCACAGCTTGATCTCAGCCGGGTAAGACCCTGAGCAGAGAACCCAGAGATGCTGCACCCAGACTTCTGACCTATAGAAACTGTAAGAGTATTGCTTTCAGTCCCCACGTTTGTGATCATCTTTAACTCAGCAGTAGATGATAATTCGGGCATCCTAGGATGCCACCATGTCAGAGCTAAGAGGGTCCTTAGCAGCCGTGAGTCCAACCTCCGCATGTGCAGATGGGGAACTATAGCTCAGAGAACAGATGGGACGTGAACCTGGTCCCTGCAGGGAGGTGATGTCAGGCAGAAGCTGCCCCCGCCCTGGAGGCTCTGCCAGGCCCAGCCTCTCATCCCCTCAGAGGCTGCGGTACCAGCCACTCTGCTAACTCTTCCTCTGTGGGGGCGCTGGCCCCCCAGAGAGCTGGTTTCCGGCCACCGACTGAATAGCCTCATCTCCTGGGGAGCAAGCTCGGGCAGGCTCCCCATCTGGCTCCTCAGGTGGCCAGGAGGTAGCGCCCCCACCCCCACAGAGAGCATGGCCCAAGCGTGCAGGAGCCAGGTCTGACGGAGTCTGGGAACTCAGGGGAGAGGTCAGAGGGATCCTGGCCGGCATCCCAGCCCGGCCGTCAGCCGTAGGACCCTGGTTTAGGGACTTCCCATGCTGAGCTCCACATCTGTGAGCCGGGAGCAGGGATGTGTTCCTTCCGGCCGCACATGAAACTCTGGACAGAAGCTCCGTCAGTGTGCAAATGCATGTCTCCGACCGCGTCCTTTTTGTGGGCCTTTCCTTCCCCTATTTGTTAAATGATCTTATCCTAGATCTGTGTTGGGGACCCTAACCATCGACCATTTTAGGGTTCAAATTCCAGCTCCGCTTCCTACTAGCCGTGTGACCTCGGATAAATCACTTAAGCTCTCTGAGCCTCGGTTTTCTCACTTGCAAAACAGGGCTACTGATCACACCTACCATTACATGGGAGATGCAGGTCAGATACCCAGTTGAGTGCCTCCAAAAATGTCAGCTTTATCACCCTCATGATCATCGTTGGAGTGTGTGAGTGTGGTCATGCCTACTGGAAAGGGCAGCGGGGCAGAGCCTCCCAGGGTGAGGGAAGTTTGGTTTCCTTGGAGACAAATGTTTGTGGGCTGGGAACATTTTTGTTCCTGCATACATTTCTGGGAAAACAACATTAGTTCTTTTCCCTCAACTCTCTGGCCCGGCACCCATCTAAGCCCCTGCCCCGAGCAGCACTGGGCTTGTAAGCAGTAAAGCTGCAGGCAGGTTTTGGCAAACAAACATGTGCATTTATTTCTGTTCCCAGGTCGAGGAACTGCTTCCTGTTTTTCTCTACCGGACGGACGGCAACAGCTCGTGCAAATGGCCGGAGGTGGGAATGTGAGTCAGACACAAACTGGGTGGGCATCCCCACTGGCCATGCTTGATGATTGCACGCTGTCCTCTGCCCACAGCCGATTCCCTGGTGTTGACAGACACCCGGCTGCAGGCTGGGCAGGCAAGAGTCTCTCCGGGGAATTTGAAACTTGAGGGCACAGAGGCAGGGGGAGGCTGGAGATGCATCGTCCCCGGCCAGTGCCCCGGAGACGACAGCCACAGGCTCTGCCCCCGAGCCCCAGAGGCCCCTGAGGGGGACGCACGCTGAGGGCTTGTTCTTCTCCCATCCCAGGAGCCACTTCCTCTAACCACCGATGGGCTCCTTGGTGGGTAACTTTCTGGTGTCTGCCACCCCGCACCCCCTGGTCGATGTGATGACTGGGAGGACACAGCATTGCTGGGGGCTGCGGGCAGTCTGTGGGGTGGAGCAGTGACCCCTCAGGTCTGTGTAGGTCACTGTGGGGTGCTTCTGTGCAGAAAGAGCATTGGACTGGAATCTGGTTCTCGGTGACCTATCGGCTGTGTGACCTTGAGCCAGTTACTGAGCCTCTCTGTGTGATCTGATTGGAGGGAACCAGGGGCCCCTCAATGAGCAGATGGGGAAACTGAGGACCAGAGAGGAAGGGCTTTCCTTAAAGCCACACAGCAGGTTTAAGGCAGACTCTGGAGCGCTCCAGGTCCTCCAAATCCCAGCCCCGAGGGGGCAGTTCTTGGAGCAGGAAGCTCATCTCTAATTAGTAGCAGGTCCTGTTGCCTCAGATGAAACCCAGGTCCCCACGCACTTCATGGACCACAAATTCCTTTCCCAATCAATTGTAGCATTTGGCCCAGTAATAATATCGAAGTCATGTTTGGGGGCTGAGCAAATTGAGCTCCGAGAGGGCCAGGGACTTGTCCAAGATCACACTACAATGTCATGGCAGACCTGGATTCTGAGCCAGATCTGAAAAGCCTGTGCTTTTGGCTCAAAGTCAGGGCTTCTTAAGCCTGTATGTGCGGATGAGTCAGGGATGGTGGCTCATGAATTTTGCATAAGAATTTTAAAATTGTTTGCTTTCATTCTGATGATACCACGAAAAAGGAACTCAAACATATCATGAATCATCTGCATGACCCACGGTGAACCTTACCTGAGCTTGTATTTGAACTTGGGGTCACACTGGCACCAAAGAATAACATTTATTGAGATCTAACTATGGGCTTTTTTTGTGTGTTATTCATTATCCCTCACAACAATGCTTTAAGGAGATAGGAGGTGCTATTATCCTCCCATTTCACAGATCAAGAAGTTGAGGCACAGAGAGACTGAGTAACTTGTATCAACCCGCACAGGGAGTAAGGGGTGTAGCCAAAATTTGAACCCAGGCTGATTCCAGAGCCTGTGATCTTGATCACTATGCGTTATCACCGTAACATCTCTGGGTGGTGAGAAAAGGGCAGAGGTGGCTGACGTGTAAAGATAAATTCCTGCTAAGTAAGGTCCAATCGGTGCAGAGGTAGAGGGTGGGAAGCAGCTTTCACTGTGGGTGAAATAGAACCAAATGGTGGGAGAAACAGTCATCAGAACACAGAGACACAGAGTTGGGAGGGAGTGTGACAAACCCGAAAGGAACGGCAGCGCAGCTGAATGTCCCATAGTCACACTGCTGGTGACCATTCAGCTTCAGCAAAGCGACATCATGTTCATCACTAACTTAAAGTGGTTACCTTGATGCTATGGCACCACACTTTGGTAGGTAGGGCCATGGGCTTAAGAGTCATGATTTCTGGGTTCAAATTCATCTTCCTTCTTGCCTAGTCCTCAGACTATGGGCGAGTCACCCAATCTCTCTCAGCCTCAGTTTTTCTCAACTCTCAAATGGAATTAGAAGAGCACCTGAAAGACTGCTAGTTGCCTTTGCATTTTCCTTTTCCCCTTTCACTGTTTTGGAGCGAATCCTCATTTTATTCCTGGGTGATGCTGTACCCAGGCAAACAACAAACATTCTCAGCCTCTCTTGTAGCTGCTGGTGGCCAGGGAGTGGAGGTGGTGAGGTGAGGTCTCTGGGAAATATCCTTGGAGGATGCTGATGCAACTGGGAGGAAAGCCGATATACCTGTCTTTTTTAAAAAAATATTTTTATTGATTTTAGAGAGGAAGGGAGAAGGAGTGTGAGAGAGAAACATCCATGATGAGATCAGCTGTCTCCTGCGTTCCCCACACAAGGGATCGAGCCTGCAACCCAGGCACATGCCTGACCGGAGATCGAACTGTGACCTCCTGGTACATGGAATGTACCTCTGAGCCACGTTATCCGGGCTATTTTTCTTCCTACATGGGACTCACTCCTTGCGGTTGGAGCCCCACCAGCTATCTTGGAACTAGAAGTGACCTTGACGATGAAGCCAGGTAGGAAGATGAAGTAACATGAAGCTAGAGGGAACCTTGACATTGATGACCCCATGGAGATGGCATCAGTCCTGGCCTGGACTGATCTTTTCAGAATTAAAAAACCCCACAAAACTTTTAATCCTAGAACAGTTTTAGATTTACAGAATTATTGCCAAGATAGTACAGAAAGTTCCTACATGCCCCAAACCCAGTTTCTCATATTATTGACATCTTATGTTAGTATGGTACATTTATCACAATTCATGAACCAACATTGTTATGCTGTTATTAAGGAGGAAGTCCGTACTTCATCCAGATGTCCTGTTTCCCTGGAATGTCCCTTTTCTGTTCTAGAATTCCATCCAGGACACCACATTGCACTTAGTGATCGTATCTCCTTGGGCTCCTCTCGGCTGTGACAGTCTTAGACATTTCTTGCTTCAGATGACCTTGGTAAGTATTTGTAAAATGTCCTTCAATTGGGCTTTGACCATTTTCTTACGATCCTACCAGGACACTGTGCTTTGGGGAGACGGCTACACAGGTAAAGTGACATTCTCCTCCCGTTCCTCGAAGGGCAGGTGCTATTAACTCGACTTATCAGGATGGATGTCAACTTCGATCACTATCCGTTTCTCCACCATAAAGTTCCTCCCGCCTTTCCGTGCTGTGTTCTTGGGAATCAGGTTATTGTGCACAGTCCACCCGGAAGGGCTGAGAGTTCTGTTCCCTTCGTAAGGGTGGAGTATCTACATAAATTATGTGGAATTCTTCTGCACGGAAGGTCAGTCTTTTCTACTCATCTTATCTCATTTATTTACTAATATCTGTATGAACACATGGGTATTTATTTTATTCTTTGGGTTATAATCCAGTACAACTTAATTTCCCCCTCAAATTGTTCCACCTTTGGTCATTGGGAGCTCTTTCCGGTTGGCTCCCCAGATGTCTTAACACAAGAGAAAAACCGAGGTAGTTATTTTGCAACTAAGGTCTTAAATTCCTCCCATTCCTATGAGCTCACGCCTTTGCAACATGACTTTGTAGCTTCTCTCATCAAGACCTAAATTAAATCTCTTTCTCCATCCCTGGAATCTGGGCGGGGCCATTTGACCCGCTTTGGCCAATGGGGAAAGACCAAAGCTCGAAAAGGCTGGTGTGTGGGGCCTGCTGCACGTAGGACCCTGAGACCACGACGTGAGCCAGGGCAGGCTGCCTGCCAGAGGATCCACGTGTGGCCCAGTGACCTCAGCTACCGCCGCCCAAAACAGACCACAGCCCCGTGCGCAAGGCTTTGACTGCAGCTGGTTGCAGATGGGTGATGGGCCCAGGGACACGCCCTCCCCAGTAAGCCCAGTCCAACTTCTCACCCAGAGCCCTGAGCAAAGCAGTGGGTAGTTTAAGCCGCTAAGTTGTGAGGCAGTTTGTTGTGTAGCAAAAACTACCTGCTGCCCAAACCACTTCCTTTTCGCAAGTCTGTGATTTGAGTTTTCTGTTACAAGAAGTCTAACCTCATCCTAAATGGACAACCATCAGTCATTTTGTTTCAGATTTTAGTTGTTTGGGAAATAGAAGCTTCAGGACCTGAGACCTCGTTTTATGAGCGTCTACAAATCAGTGATTTTCTGTCTGTACCTTCGGGCCTGCGACCACCAGGAGCTCACCTGCGGCTAACCTGGCCGGATCCACCCCTCACTGCAGAGCGGGACTGCACGCTTGGGAACCCTGGGTGTCTCCGTAAGAGGGCGATAGAAAGGGCTTCCTATAGGATTTGTGTCCGGTGATTCTGAGTTCACAGAAGTGGGTTTGTCTAGATTGGATGCTGTGAGGCAGTGGGAGTGATTATATGGTTGGGGTCTTGATAAGTCTCCTCTATGGAGGAGGCAGAGCCAGGCTAAGTGTTAGGTGGGAAAGCAGCGCAGTCACTGTATGAGCCAGGACGGGGGGTGGGAGGAGGTGTTTGGTTATTTTAAAAAATTCTTTATTGTTTAGAGTAGTGATGGTGAACCTATGACACGCGTGTCAGAGGTGACACGCGAACTCATTTTTTGCTTGACTTTTCTTTGTTAAATGGCATTTAAATATATAAAATAAATATAAAAAATATAAGTCTTTGTTTTACTATGGTTGCAAATATCAAAAAATTTCTATATGTGACAGGGCACCAGAGTTAAGTTAGGGTTTTTCAAAATGCTGACACGCCGAGCTCAAAAGGTTCGCCATCACTGGTTTAGAGTATTACACGAGTCTCCTTTCCCCCCACCCCCACCCTATTGACCTCTCCCCAGCCGCTCCCACCCCCCAGCACATGGCCTCACCCCACTACTGTCTGGGTCCATTGGTTATGCTCATATGCATGCATACAAGTCCTTTGGTTGATCTCTTACCTCCCCCCCCGCCTTCCCTCTTAGGTTGGGTGGTCTGTTCGATGCTTCCATGACTCTGCCTCTATTTTGTTCATCAGTTTGGTTATTTCTGTGGCTTGGAAATATTCATGGTTAATGTTCAGACATCATTACAGAGTGATCTTGTTTTTGTCTTGATTCATGAGTCACAGAGTGCCCTGTTTGATGTGGGTGATCTGTAAAATGTTCATGCTCACAGGACATCAGCTATTACCTGTGCCGGGCAATTCCTAGCAACGCCCAGGCCTAGCTGGCCACCATCCAGGCCAGCTCCTGAGTGGCAGCGCTGCTTTCTTTCCTCAGTTGAGGTCTTGTTGCAGAAGGGGACACGAGGCACAGAGAGGGTGTGGAGTTAGCTTCCGGTCACACAGCTATTGAGTGGATTGCATTATAAACCCTGTCAGCTGTCTTTGCAGCTTGTGAGCTTCTGTGGGCTCGTTCTCGGTATTGTGTACATGCATGTGAATATCCTGAGGCAGGCACCAGGCACGTGGATGTGTGGATCTGTTTCTGGGTTGGGGTGTGTAGTGCGTACTGTAGAAAAGGGAACCAATATCCCTGTTCTCTCTGGGCCTCAGCCTCACCTCTGGGATCACATGGGCTCTGTCCTTAAAGGGCTGGGTCGGGGGAGGACCGAGGGGCCAGGCAGCCTCTATGTCCAGTCGATGCTATGTCTGAGGAAATTCGGGCATGAAGACAAAATATGACTTGTATCTTGTCTAACGTCTAATGTAGTAACTTTAAAAAACACACAGCTCCACTGAAGTAAAATTGACACACCATAGATGGCACATGTTCAAGGGGAACCATTTGATGAGTGTTAACATGTATATACCCTGAAACCCTCACCTCAGTCAAGATGATGAACATAGTCATCACCCATGAATGTGTCCACTGGGTAATTAGGGGAAGGCACTGTCTCAGAACCGGACTCTGGGAGCTTTTGTCCGTCTGTGATTTTCAGAAAAGACGAGACTAGTTGGCCAGTACACGTCACCACATCGCGGCTCGGTGGCCAAGCCCAAGAAAGACACCTGTGCGCCCGCTGCTGACGTCTGAAACCCTCACAGCCACACCCGTGTGCCATCCAGGCTTCTTTAAGCTGCAGGCGACAGAATCCCAACTCAAAGTTGCTTGAGCAAAATGGAACTTTTATCGGCTCAAGGAGCTGAAAAGTCCACATGAGCCAGGTCAAGTGCAGCTTGACTCAGGACTGCTTTTCCCTTTGTCCTCGTCCGCGGGCAGGCTCTCCCCCGGAAAACAGGATGGCAGCGGCATGTGCGGGGGGCTGGGCAGGCAGGGAGGGGCAGGCCCCCGGGCGTCACTCTTTACTCTGGGGTCAGTGGCAGGGGCAGCCTTGGGAGGAACTGAGCATGAGAATGGCCCGGTTAGATCTGGGTTCTGAGATGATCACGCCAGCCATGGTGCGGAGCCAGAGAGATAATTAAAAAAAAAAAATCTTGCTTGAAAAAACCCTTTCTTTTAAACAGAGTTGGCACGAGGCAGCATTCTGGGCTCCTTTTTAAGGATCTCATGTCTTCCCACAAGTCCCTGAGAAAAATGCGTATCAGTTAAGATTTTAAGTCCCAAACAACAGTGGCTTAAGTAAGAGAAAAGTTTGCTTCTCTTTTGTGAAAGGTGGTCGAGGGCTGGGGAGCAGCTAAGCGATGGAGAGAAATGTGAGCTCCTTGTATTGTCCTGCCGCACCTGCCCAGTCCTCACTCACCCGTGGTCCAGGCTGCTGGTGCTCCAACCCTCACACCTGCACCCCAGACACAGGAAAGGGGAGGCAAGGGGCTCACCTCCCGGTCTGGCCAGCTTCCCCATTTTCCTGACATGACATTTCTTCTTACAGATCATCCCCAGAATCTGGCCACATGCCACACCTTAGTATGAAGGGAGTCTGGGAAATGGGATCTTTATGTGGCCACATTGCCACCAAAATGGAGTGTGTGTGTGTGTGTGTGTGTGTGTGTGTGTGTGTGTTCGAAAGAGACTGTACGTGCTTTGATACTCTTTCCACCCAGAGGTGGGGTCTATGACCACAAACCCCGAGTCTGGCTGGGGCTCTGTGACGGCTTTGACCGTACAATAGGGTGGAAGTGTTGCTTCTACACTGACTTTCCAGGCCAGGTCAGAGGAGACCATGCAGCGTCTGCCCATTTGGCGTGGAGCCAGGACCAGCTTCTTGGGCGTGTGACCTATTTAGTTGCATAGGGCCTGAGCCAGAAGCGTTGTTCACTTGTTTTAATGCTCTGCTGTGGTCTTGACATTTGTAATGACTTTATCTGTGAACTTGTGTTTTGTAAGAGAAGTCTGATGGGACCACGGAGATGTGCGTCTGTGGAGGGCTGTGTACGCTAGTTCCTTGCCACCCTATTAGCATCTGCCCTTTCGATACCGGCTTCCCTTACCACTTACCTTGCATGAAGGACCCCATGCTCAGAGGGGCTCTTGTCTTGACTGCCTGCTGTCACCATCTTGAAATTCTTAATTTTACCCTTGAACTCGTGTATTGGAAGTGAAGTCCAGGGGGGCAAGGGCTCATGCCTATGGGCAGAAGAGATGCACACGGGATGGATGTCCACCGTTCACATGTAGTGTTCACAGTGCCCCCTGAGCACAGGCTGGTGGTGCACCCGCAGTGCCTGGACGTTCAGGGAGACTCCCAGTGCGAACAAGGGAAGCCTGTGATGGCTACGATGAAGTTGGGGCACAGCCCACAGAGGCTGTGCTTTCTGTGCGAACTAGCAGTTCCTTTGGCCAGAGAAAAAGGCAGTGGGATTCTAAGAAACACAGACAACCATGGAAACTTATCATATCCTTTCTTATTCATGTTACTTTCCTGTGTTGGCCAACCACTTACACTCAAAATGATGCCATAGAGAGGGAAACAGGGCATCCCATTGTTCCCTTTCCTCTCAGTCTTCCTACTCACCAGCAGGTAGGAAGTAGAGAGTGTTGATTGAATGCGTGCGTATCCGGAAGTGAAAGAAAAGCAGTTCAATTAGTTTGGCGCAGCATTTCCATGTTCTGGTGAGAATGAAATAGACACACACGTGCATGAGTTATGAAACACCGCTGGTGGCATGTCAGTGGTTCTGCACGTGAGTTCAATGCTCTCGCGTTTGCATTTCACACCATCGTTGCACTATGTAAAGATGAACGGTAGAGCTCATGTACGTAAGTTGCATTAAAAGTTTTTCTTTCCTTAGAACAACATTTAGCAGTAAGTAAAACCGCACCATGACTGGTTGAGAGAGGGAGACTAGAAGAAAGGAAAAAGCTTTATATTTCAGCACCGCCACTGGCACTTTCTTCCTACTTTTTGCACAAAGGGCCCCACCTTTTCATCTTGCGCTGGGCCCTGTAGATTATGCTGCTGGCCCCATTGGGAATGCTTGCAGTCAGGAGCGTCCTAGAACCCAGTCGTCACGCTGTGAGGAAGCCCGAGCCACATGGAGAGGGCATGTGCAGGTGCTCCAGGCAACAGCCTACCCCAGCCCAGCCCGTGAGTCAGCCCAGCCCAGGCACAGGAATAACACCTCCAGCTGATCCCTTCCCACGGCTCCCAGCTTCCCAACACCTCCCTGCATCAGGTCCTCCCGCTGAGCCCAGGCCTCTCGGAGTAGAGAGAAGCCATCCCCTCAGTGCCCTGTCTGAGTCCTGACCTACAGAATCCATGAGCAAAATAAAATATGTTCTTGTTTTTCGCTACAGGATTAACCCTACCCCTAAGATGGGGTAGTTTGATATGGAGAAATACATGTACCATACTTTATTCATTTGGGTTGATCCTCATCTTTTGTTAATACAAACGAAGTTGCAATAAATAACTCTGTGCAGGTATTATATATATTTTCAAGGCAGACTCCTAGAAATGAGGATTACTGTGTGAAAGGATAAATTCATATGAATTCTTTTTTAGCTATTGCCAAATTCTCTGTAAACTTTATTTTTCTTCACATAGCTTTCTTTGTGTTTACAGTATATTTATATTTGTACTAGAGGCCCAGTGCATGAAAATCGTGCACTTAGGGGTCCCTCAGCCCAGCCTGCACCCTCTAGCAATCTGGGACCCCTCAGGGGATGTCCACCTGCTGGCTTAGGCTCGATCTCTGAGAAGCTGGGCTCTCTGCTCCTTAGCGTTGCCTCGGAGTCTCCCGCCACCGCTGCTGCACTCACCTGCCATGAGCCCGGCTTCTGGCTGAGCAGCACTCCCCCTATGGGAGCACACTGACCACCAGGGGGCAGCTCCTGCATTGAGTGTCTGCCCCCTGGTGGTCAGTGTGCATCATAACAACTGGTTGTTCTGGTCATTCCACTATAAAGGTCTCTGGGCTTTTATATATAGACTAGAGGCCTGTTGCACGAAAAGATTCATGCACTAGGCCTGGGTCCCAGGTGCCGGAGGAAAACCAGTGCCGCTCCAGCCGGAGCCGCCTTCAGTCTTCGCTCCGCCGCTTCGCGCCTATGTATGCAAATTAACCACCATCTTTGTTGGCGGTTAATTTGCATATCTCGCTGATTAGCCAATAGGAGGCGTAGCAAAGGTACGGTCAATTTCAATCTTTGTCTGTTATTAGATAGGATAGATAATCCTTGCTGCCCACACACAGAGAAACATACACAGAGAAACGTGCACAAATAAAGGCACAACTTGCTGAATTCTTGCAGACAGAACTCGTGTGTGTCACCCTCAGGTGTGTCAAGAAACAAACACTCCTAGCACCTCACAGGCTGCCCTAGTCCCCCTTCCCGGGGAATACTCGCGTCCGTGGTGTGAATGTGTCACTGCTTATCCATTTTCCTCTTGACGTTCCCAGTTAGGGGCTCATGTGAGCGATACTCCTCGGCTGCTGTACAGTCCGCAGGACCCGTTGCACAGATGCCAGGCTTGGAGCATCCTCCTTTACCTTTCTGTGGGTTATCGTTCTCAAACTAGGTTCCTGTGGAACCCCGGAGTCCTTTTCCAAACAGCAGGAAACGAATACATGCATGGCTTGGCTTCTCTCCGTTTAAAATTTTCCCTAAAAATTTTGGGGTCCACTCTCAGGCGTCTGCTACCAAGTTTCAGCCATGACAAATGTTCAGGAAATAATGGCGGGGGGGACTGGAAATGCCACAGGCTGCATTGAAAATAGCAGTGGTCATCATTTTTGGAGAGGTCTTCCATGTTGGAATAGTTCTTTCGTGATGGAGGATAGATTTTCTCTAAAGCCTTGCCAAAACAGGTATCGAGATTTCTGCTTCATTGGCACTGAAAACCCAGGTTCCGAAAGGGGAAGTAACTTGTGCAAGTTTACACACTCATATTGGAGGGAGAAAGTTTACACACTCATATTGGAGAGAGAAAGTTTACACACTCATATTGGAGGAGGAGAAAGCCTGTGGGTTCTGAGCGACCATCAGGCACTGGCTTCCTGCTGTTAAGGCTGCATCTTCTTGTGTCCTCTTCTCAGCCTGGCACCCAAGGCCCTGCCCACCCAGCCCCTACCAGAGCTGTGGCTGCTTCTGCCCCAGTGCGACTCAGACAGAATGGTGGCTGCATCCAGGCCTGGGCAGGTGTTGGGGTGGGAGGTGGTCTCTGATGTAGGTGCTCAGAGGGCACATTCTCCCACCACTTCCCCCTTGCTCACTCTGCTCCGGCCACGCTGGCCTCCCTGTAGTTCCTCATGACCACCCCAGGGCCTTTGCACTTGCTGCTCCTCTAGTCACTAGAGTCTAGTGGGCCTATTCTTTCCACAGCTCTTCCCCTGGCTGCCTCTTCCTCACCTTATTAGTCCTCAACTTCAGTGTCATCTCTTCAGAGAGGCTTTCCCTGATCACCCTAAGTTGGGCCCTCTGTAATCTTTTACCTCTGTCTCCTGTTTATTTTCTCCATTTGCAATATATTAATTTGTTAATTTAGTTTTTAAATTAAAAACAGTTGGTTTTAGCGTTGGTCCCTCGAGCCTGTTAAGCTCTATGCGTATAGAACTGTGGACAGGTATCTTGTTTGCTGCTCCATCCCCATCACCTATCGAGGCCTGGACCCAGGTGGATCCTCAGTACATTGCTGCTATGTGAATAAATGAATGTGTGCATGAATGGATATACATCGAACTTGCCTGACTTCCCTGTGAACTCGATCCCAGTCTCCTTATTGTGCAAACACAGAGAGGCTCAGAGAGTTCTCACCAGGTAGGACAGGAATGTGTTAGAAACTAAAGGCCTTTGGACTTCCCTGCCCTCAAGCCACAAGCTGTGTATGCCCACATTAGTCGAACACAAGAAAGTAACACATTTAAGCTGGACATGGCCTGGACCAGACTGCGTTCTCTGAAGGGCTGCTCCATCAAACTATGCTGTTGCCAGGGTCACCAAGGCAACACTGATCACGTTCTGAAACATTTTTAAATAGCAGAGGTAACGGCTCACACAGACATCACGGGCTGGACAATCTGGAAAAAGGGGTCAAATCCCCCAAGCGGCGATCTATCCTTATGCTGGCTGCTCCCACACCCCCTGCAAAGGGCCACCTTCTGCCCTGCCCATGGCTGTCATCTCTGGGCTGTGCACAGTGAGCTCTCCCCCAGCCGTGGCTGGGAACATGCAGAGATCTCAGGAACAGTGTGCTCTGTCTGCCTGGCTCCACCAGGACCTACCAGGTGCCAGTGGGAAAGACAGACAGGTCTTGGAGAGCTTTCCAGAAAGTTCCTTCAGCTCTTGATATTGGTGGAGAGGACACCACTCCAGCATTTCTATGTTCAGTGCCAAGATGGCTCCAGAGAGCTCTGGACGAGGGAGGCAGCTTGTGGGTGCCTGTGCCCGTAGGTGGTAATTGGCTGTGCTGCCTTAATGAAATCCTTTCCCTCTCTGAGCTCTAATTTCTTCATCACGAAAATGAGGAGAACACTGGTCTGATGTAGGGAGAGGTGACAAGGATTCTTCAGAGGAGCCTGCAGATGCAGGGATCCCCGAAGCCAGTTCCTAAGAGCAGTGGCCCCCAGGAGACCCGGTAGCACCAAGGCCACGCCAGCCACGTCCCCCACAGGCTTTGTGCTGCACAGCGTCTGTCAGCTGGTCTTGTGTGCAGCCATCATGAGCATCACTGTCAGAGGGTCCTTAGAGGTCTGCACGGCTTCCATCCTGACTGCACAGAGGGAAACGGAGGCTCAGAGAGGGCCAGGGTCTGACACTGCCTGAGCAGGACACAGCTGTGTCCTTGATAATCTGGGGCAACCTGGGCAGGAGCTGGAGCCTGGGGCCAGGCCTTGGAGTCAGGGAGAATGGGAGGGGAGGCAGAGATGGAGAGAAAAGAGATGGGCGTCAGAGACGGATGGAGAAAAAGTGGTCACTGGTCTTGCCTTCCCAGCATCGCTGCTTCCTGAAACAATGTCTGTTTCCCCACTGCTCGTCCACCTGCCATGTGACTGAGGTGGGACAGACCCCACCCCTGGTTCCAGGCAAGATCATGTGACCCAGGTCTGGTCAATTAGAATCACAGTGTATGTGCAGGAATGGGCACAGGACCAGTCCTGGCTTGAGAGAATCATGCCCTCGCTGGGACAGGGCAGCTCTCTGCCTCAGAGATGCCGGGCTGGGAGGACGTGAGCCAGCTGGTGGGGCCCTCTTGTCAGGACTGAACATGGCTGGGAATGAAGTCAACAAGGCAGATGGCAGAACCGGGATGAAGAGGGACACCATTTGAGCGCCTGGATCTAACCACACCTGAATGCACCTCTAGACTTGTTATGTGAGCCAATCCATTCCTTGGGATAAGGTTTCTATGCCCTGCACTGGAGAGTCCTGGCTTGGAGGGGGAAGGAAGGTGAGAGGGAAAGGTGACTATTTAAAAACAAGTGTCTGGCCCTAGCCAGTCTGGATCAATGGATAGAGTGTCAGCCTGCAGACTGAAGGGTCCCAGGTTCAATTCCGGTCAAGGGCACCTGCGTGGGTTGTGTGCTCCATCCCCAGTGGGGGGCGTGCAGGAGGCAGCCAATTAATGATTCTCTCTCATCATTGATGTTTCTATCTCTCTCTCCCTCTCCTTTCCTCTCTGAAATCAATAAAAATATATTTAAAAAACAAAACAACAAACAAACAAAAAACAAGTGTCTGAGGGTAACCAAACCAGCTTTTTGATCTTTTAGAGAACGGGGGTGCAGACAGGAATTTGGGCCTTCACCCCACGCAGAGGAGTCTATCCCTGAGGCTCCCAGCTCCCCCCTCCACTCCTCTCCAGCACATAGCAGTATACAAATAAATGCTGTGGATACAGGAATACAGGCTCACCCTGCTGGGTCCAGCAGAAGGGATGACACACACTAGAGGCAATTTCTCACCCCATTCACCTCTTTGGGAACTAATATTTATTAGGCACCTGCTTCATACCAGGCTCTGGTCAGAAGTTGACATACAGGGTCTCATCACCTCCTTGCCCCAGCCCAGAGAGGAGTGAGGGCCATCACCTCTATTTCATAGACAAGATCATTGAGGCCGCGAGAGGCTGAGCCATAGGCCTCAAGTCCAAAGAGCTGGAGCAGGTCTGTCCAACTCCAAGCCCTGCCCACGGTACCACACTGCACACAGTAGGCCTCATTGGGACTGAAGAGGGTGACACAGTGAAGAGGGAGTGACAGAGGCTCCTCTCTGACCTTGTCCTCTGAAAGAAGCTCATGAGGAGTCCCTGGTCTCCCAGACCCCCAGCTGTAGCATCATGTTGGACGGGGCAGGAGGAGAGGGCTAGGGGTTCTGGCTTAGACCTGGGAGGATCTGGACCTGCAGATTGGTGTCCTGCCCACGGCAGTGTGGACAGTCCCTGGTAATGCCTGTACTTGAGCGAGGGTGAGCTGGGCTTACAGGGAGTGCTGAGGGCAGCCCTGGGCAGAGAGCTGGCTTCCTGGGGCCAGAAGGAGCCTGGGAGATCACTGGCCCATAGCAGACAGGAAACTCAGGGATGGTGTGTGTCTGTTTTAATCCAACACTTCTTTCCAGTTGTTTTAGAGACTACGTGGGACCTTCACTGTGGCGTTTGCAGCCAGAAAGGATGAGACGCTGGGGGTGGGAGATGGCGCCCTGGGGCTCCTCCTCATGACACTGCGGACCAGCTTTTCCAGAGGCATCCACCTCCCCGAGAGATGCTCTGGGAGGAACAGAGCCCATTTTCAAATAAGCACAATTGGAGAAAGCTGCCCACTCCAGCCCCTTCACGGGCAGTCACAGAGTACATGGCCACAGCATAGGCTCTGACAAGTCCTGCACTAAGAATGCCTGTCGACCTTGACTTAACCTGGCGCTCTCCTCTCCCCCTTGACCAGAGGTACTTTGAGAGGGAAGTGTGAGTTATTCTCTGTGGAACATATTCTGGAACCTGCTGGGGGTAAAGAAATCTCTGTTAGATCTCCTGGAGCCTTTGAGAGACCAGGGTTGAGTTCCAGATGCTGGGGCCCGGGAGTGATGGACAGTGTGGGGTGGAAATAATGATTCCTGTTATGGGGTAGATGCAGGCCTTTCAGCCTGGGACAGTTCAAGGACAGCTCAAGGCTGAGAAGGCTTGGAACAGGCGCTGGCCTTCCCACCAACCCTGGGGCTAGAATCTGGGGCTCCATCTGAGCACTTTCCTGCCTGCAGATACCCTCCCACCTGCCTGAAATTTCCTCCCTGGCCAGGCATTCCTGGGAGGAGCCAAGGTGTCTGTTCTCAGCTCATTCAGGGTATTGTGACCCTCAAGTTGGCAGGGGCCCCTGCAGAAGACTGGAGAAAAGAGGGGTCCTGCAGAGACAGGAACCCCCAAACGCCCCCCATGTCACAACTTGAGGACGACAGGGAAGCAAGGCAGCTGACTCTTGGGGACTCGTGGGGCGAGGAGGGCTGGCTCGGGGGATCCAGGTGTCCAGGCCCTGGCACCGTGTCCTGTGCTGGGCCCAGCTTGCCCAGGGCATAGCAAGTCCCGTCTCCTCCTGTGGCCCAGCCTTCGTGCGAGGCTGCTGTTAGGTGCCGATGGGACGCACCATCATGCGAGTGGCCCGCAGCGAGTAGCTGGGGCCCTGGAAGTAGTGCCAGCGGATGCCGTTGAGCTTGCGCAGGTGGCGGCCAGCTGGGTAGTAGATGCTGTTCAGGTTTGAGAGGCCACAGGCGTCAAACCACCACCCTGGGGGAGGGGAGGAAGAGGCTTTGGGAGCTGGGGGCCCACCAGTGGGGTGAGGGTGGCCCCCTACCTCAAAGACTAAGCAGGCCTTTGCCTCCTCCAGGAAGTCAGCTCCCCGGATGGGGCTGGTGGGAATGGCCATGGGGGTGGGAGCGCGACTCCCAGACCCTCTGCCCAGCCAGGGGCCCCAGGAGGGTGGCATTGGGCTCCAGTTGCCCCTCTCGGCCCCTCATCCCTTCACCTTGTCCCTAATCCCTCTGTGTCCCTGTCTCCCTCCCTCGCCTCCTCTCGCACAAGTCCCATCTCCCTCTCTCTGTGGGGACAATGCTCTCTGTCACCTGAGTCTCTAACACCCTGAGGTTGTCTCTTTCTCTCTGATGGTCTCTGTGCTTGTCTGTCACTCTGTGGGTCTCTCTCAAGCCGGGCTCCTCTCTCTGATGTCACCCGCTCTGCCTTTCTGGCTCTTGTCTCTCACACACCGTGTTCCTTTCTCTTGCCCTGATCTGCATTTCTCCCTCCATCTCTCCTTTGTATGTCTGCCCCTGTGTAGCTCTCTGTTGCCACCACTCTGTCTCTGTGCCAGTTCCGGAGTGTCTCTCGGTCTCCACCTGTCCCTGGCTCTGTGTCTCAGGGGGTCTCCCGTCTCCCACCGGTGGGTGGATGGGCTTCCCCGAACCCCGCACCCACCTCCGGACAGCATCTGGGCGCACTTGCACAGGCAGTTGTCGTTGTCTGCGTCTCGGGTGCTGAAGTTGGTGCCCTCCAGGGCCAGGCTGCTCTGGGGCCCCGCCGAGCCACTGTACCCACTCAGAGAAAGCCTGGAAGCCACCCGGAGGTGGTGGTGGGAGAAGGGCGCAGAGTCAGGTTGGGGCTGGTTGAGGAAGGGGCTCTGAGCTGGTCGTTCTGGAGGCGGGGAGCCCCAGCCCGGACTCCGTGGGCCACCTCCCTCCTGGATTCGCACTCCCTGCCTGCTGCCTCTCAGGGACCGAGCAGCCACCGTGTGCCAGGCCTCCCTCGACTCGATGAACCTGAGTCTTACACGGGAGTAGCATGATCATGACAACAGTAACAGTGAGGGCAATGGCTAACGTTTTTTAAAAAATCTACCATGTGCCAGGCATTGTTCAAAACACTTTACATGGTTTAACTCATCCGCTTCATCCTCACAAAACTCAAGTATTTCCATTCTACAGACGAGGAAACAAAGGTCCCAAGAACCAGAGGAGCCGGCAAAGGTTTCAGAATGAAGGAGGGTGGGAGCCAGATCCCAGCCCAGGGGGCCTGGCCTGGAGCTATGTGCATTTTCCTCCCCCGCTGACCATGTGCAACCCCAGCCCGTCACACCTCCTCGCACCCACCCACCTCCTCCAGGAGGCCTTCCCTGACCACACCTGCCCACCTGGACCTGTGCCCGGTGAACCCCTATCCCTATGACTTCCACCTCTGCAGCCGGCTGGGGAGGGTCTCTATTTCTCTGCCAGGCTGCGAGTCTCAGCTCCACCACTGGCCAGTTGCATGACCTTGGGCAGACTGCTGCGCCTGCCTCTCAGCTTCCGTTTCCTCATCTGTTAAGGTGGTAATGATCTGTTAAGGTGGTAATGATAGTGTTCACGGTGCCGATCGGCTACTGTGATTTGATGACTTCAGGGTGTGGTGGGTGCAGAGCGGCGCTGGCCTGGGATAAATGCTCAGCAAGGTAATGCCGCTTGCTATTTGCCCCTGTGCTCCTGGCCCGTGGCACGCAGCTGGCACAGGCTCCCACTAGGCCTGGTTGGAGTGTTGGGTTCTGGTAGCAGGGAAGGGGCTGCACTGGCCACGGAGACGAGGACCCAGTTTGGGAGCAATAAGGAAGGCCCTCCAGGTGAAGGCAGGTGGACGCCAGATGCGGCCAGGGCAGCTCAGGGACTCTGGGTCTGCAGGGCAGAGCCGGGAGCTTTTCCCCGTGGGGCCAGAAGGAACGTGGGGCCAGAGCACATGGCCTGGCTGAGTCCCTGCTCCTCCCACCCACAGGCTCTGTCTGTGGCGAGGCAGGCACATGGCCCTCAGGGCCCAGATCGCTGTGGCCAGCCATGAGGCTCTGTGCCCTCAAACATGCCACCTGGGGCTCAATCGACTGGTGTTGCAAACTGGCCCTGGCAAGAGGGCTGTCTGGCCAGGGGCTCCCAGGCTGGGGACAAGCAGCCTGTCCACCTGCTAACATGGTCTTGGCGGTTCCTGTGGCCACTGAGGGCTCCCCTTGAGGGATCAGCGATGTCAGCTCCAAGCCAGGCTCTGGGCACAGGCTACTCAGTCTGGGGCTGTGTGGAATCAGCACTGGACTGGCCTCTCTCCTGTTCCCAAGTCCTCAGTTCAGCTCTGCCTGGCTTCCTCTCCCCCTTGGGAGCCAGCCTAGGGATCTGTGATCTCTGGGGGGCCCCCAGTCATGGACCAGGAAACCCCACTTGACCCGCTGTTCAGATGCACTTTGAATATGTTCATAGCTCAGTCCTGGGGAACCCAAACAAAGACACGAGTCTCTGGGGATCCCCAAGTTAGAAACATCAGGTGTGTCTTCCATGTGTCTGTGGATCCGCATACCAGTCTATGTGTCTGTAGTGTGATACCATCTTCCAGTCTAGCGTGTGTGTGCGTGCGTGTGTGCGTGTGTGTGTATGTGTGTGCGTGTGTGTGTGTGTGCGCGCGCGCGTGTGTGTTGAGTTTGTGCTAGAATATCTATTGTGGGTCCAGGGTGTGCTTGGGAACCTGCCTTTGTGCCTGGGGTTGTGCATGTTCACCTGTGAGGGCTTCTGTGGAGGGACATTTGCACGCGTGTCCGGGTGTGTCTGTGCTTGTTTGTGTAGCTATGCACTTGTGTGATATTGTGCTCTGCATGTACCCCAGGGGTGTGGCGAGCCCCTGCACGTGTGAATGTCTGTCTTTCTTGTAGTCAGGCCTGGGCGGTGAGTGCCTTTGGGAGGTGTGTGCCCAGTGTCTGTGTGTGTGCGCCTGGTGTCTTTTCTGTGCCTCTTCCCTCCCCTCCCCATGGGCCACTTTCTCCTTAGGGTTGTGCACGTGCCCCAGCTGGACTCCAGAAGCCCCCATGATTGTGACTGACAAATAAGTGTGCCCCTCCTGCCCCTGATGCCCATGCCCCAGCTGCTGACTGCCAATGCATTGCTGCCTCTGGACTTTCCTACGGGCATCCTCCTAACCTTACCAGCTGGCTGGTCCTGTCTGGTGGTGGCACAGGGACCAATGTCTGCCCTGTCACTTTCCTCCTGGCCCTCCTTGGGCAGTTTCAGGCCCCACTATGCTTTCCAGGATCTCCACCCCGGTCTCCTAAGCTTTTCCTGAATGAGTGGGGACGCTCCCTGGTCATCTCAGCAGCCTTTGAAAGAGCCTTGCTCAGGCTCCAGGTGTCTGTGGCCAACTGAATGTCAACTCTCTCTTTGTCTTTTTCAAACATCCCCACTGCCTGGGATGTCCTTCCTGTTCTCTCTTGGAGAAGGCCCACCCATTACAGGCATCACCTCAGTGCCTCAGTTTCCACATCACTAAAAGAGGTACAGCCATGCTTACCTCAGAGTGTTGTGGGAGGTTAACTAGAGTAATGTGCTTGGAACATGGTAGGTGCTCAATAAATGCTCATTCCTTTTCCTAAACAAAGCCCAGAACCAGGCTGAAGGAGGGAGGCCTCGATGGTTTTAAAATATGCTCATATTCAAGCCCATCCTGTTGTTAAAAAGCAGGGGTGCAGAGAAGCCAGAACCTTGACTCATCCAAGCTCTCAAAGTGAGCTGGAGGCAGCATGAGCCCAGGTCCCCGATTCCCAGCCCAGGGACCTTTCCGTCTCATCCCGTAGCACAGGGCACGCTGGGAAGTCTGAGCCTCTGCAAAGTGACTGCCTTAGGGTGATTGACCTTGGAAGGCCCTTCCTGCTCACGAGATGACAGCATCAGCAACACTGTCTCCACCCCACCCAGTGGCTGGGATGTGCTGAGTGCTAACCAGCCGCCTCCACATCCCGTGACGTGCGCCCAAATGGGGGACAGATGGTAGGAACAGGAAACGCCCAGGGACTGACCCTGGGTGCAGACTCTGCAGCCACTAGCCCAGGGTCCTCAGTCCACCCACCAGCCTGGGCCCTGCGCCCACCTGTACAGCTGCCCCTCGCTGCCCAGCTGGAAACGCTCATATTGGGCATAGGCCTCGTTGCCTTCCCAGTCTTGCAGCTCCACACGCAGAGAGTAGGCTGCCCTGCTGGTGAGATGGTGCACCAACTCGTTGCCCAGCCAGTGCTCGCCAGCCAGGTCACCGAAGCCCTAGGAGGAGAGGAAGGACAGCGTGGGTTTTATGCCAAGGAGGGAGGCTATGCCCCAGGCTGAGAGGCTGGGCTGGGCCAGGGCCTGGGGTCACTTATCCAAAACCACTTGTCCTAATGCTCAAGTTCATAAAGTACAGTGTGGGCAGAACTGGGGAGAGGGGAGCTCCCCAACTTCTAGAGCAAAAAAACGAAGACTTTTGCAACTATAAAAGTCTGTTAAAATAATTGAATCACGTTCTATTAAGTTTAAGAACAGGTCAAACTAATCTGTGTTAATAGAAGTCAGAATAGCAACTTCCTTTGGGCGAGTACTGGCTGGGGTGGGGGGGGGAGCCCACGGAGGGCTTCTGGGGTGCTGGAGGTGTCCTATATCTATATCTGAATGGTGGTCACATGGACGAGCACCGATGTAAACATGCACTGACTTTTACACTTAAGGTTTGTGCACTTAGTGCATCTAGGTTAAATCTCAATTTAAAAATTAAAGATTTTAATCAATGGCAAAAATGATAGAGCGAACTTTGTTCAATGACATGGAAGCAACTACAAAATTCCAGCAACATAGACACGTAAAGAAAAGGGAGTCACGGGTTTCTAGGGTTGACAAGAAATCAATGTCCTCAGCTAGAGCACTAATTCAGCACCAAGGACAAGGCGCACCTAAGCCCCACTCCCCACTTTAGCCTTGCTGTGCAGCTGATTCGTGTAATGGTTAATCTGCAGCACTCTTTTCTGTATTTCTGGATCTGAGCACCCTGTATATCTTTGCTATTTTAATGACTGTTTCAAATCAAATAGACTCAAGAACACTCATAGCTTAATTTGGTATTTAAGCATTTATCAAATGGACAGCAAGCAGGCACAAAAAATAATATTGTTGTGTTTCCTTGTGGGTATCTTTGTCCATTTCTTTTGCTTTTGAAAACTAGAAGAGCTTTTCAGCCAGCTTGCCAGAAATCCTTTATTCATAATTTAATTTTAAAAATTGGAAGACAATTGAGCTCTACTTCTTATCTTGTAAAATGCACCTGGTTTTTGAGCCAGCAATTCCACATTACAGATTCTCTCCTGCAGATGTGGTCACCTACGCGTACAAAGACAAGGAAATTCACTTAAGCAATGCAGCCAGGAGTGCGGGAGAGAGATTACTGTTTTTATGTTCCCTTTCTTTGTAGTATTCAAATTTTTTTAGCACTGTATATATGTCATCTTTTCTAAAATTTAAAGCAAAAAGAAGTTAAAGTTTCATTATTTGATATATGTCAGAACTTGCAGAAAGAAGGTCTAAATTTAGAGCACAGAGTCCCTGAAAGTGAATGTGCACCGGGAAAGTTTGTTTGAAGTTGGTTGGTTTGGGGTGGGCTGATTTTTTTTTTTTTAGGAAGGGTTAAGGACAAACCATTCCCCTGTCCACAGCCCACCTCCCACCCCAGGTTTCAGGGCTGAAAAGCCCTCCTCAGGGCAGCAGTGTTACCTGCTTATAATCTTTCCAGTTCCGCTGAAAATTCACGCTGCCATTCGCACGGCGCTGAATGAGGGTCCACCCACCTCCATTGGCTTCCATGTCACAGAAAACCTGAGGGAATTGGTGGGGAGAGCGGGTTGGGAGTCCGCGGAGGCAGCCAGACGCCAGGTGTGTGGGCCAGCTCAAGCGCGATCTGGCCAACAGAACCTCACATAACAACAGGTGAGCCTGGTGGTCAAGGGCATCAGAATGACCCAGGTTCAAATTCCCCTCCCACTGTCATTATTTTTCTAGAGGGCCAGTGATGCCCTCTCAGAGCCTTCCTTTCCTCATTTGTAAAATGGGGTATCAATACCTTAACCTCCTGGCATCTCAGTTTCTCGTCTGCAAACTGGGGTTGTTGTGAGAATTAAATGAGATGAATCATCTACAGAACAGAGCCTCGCATGCACTAGGAACTAAATAAATGCAGGCTTTTCACTCGCTATTGTTGCTGAGCTGCTGTAAGGATTAAGTGCTGATGAGTGTAGAGTGCTTGGCACACCGTATAGACTCAAGAAATGCTATTCCAGTCAGTGGACAAATGTTTTCTGAACACGTCCTATGGGCCGGACTCCATTCAAAGCACTGGATGCCAATATGGGTAAGACAGAAAGAGTTCTGTCTCTCAAAATGCTTACCATCAACGACAATCACACCGTTCAGTCTAACCTTTGTTCACATATTATTTTTTTCCAGTTCATTACATGTTCATTGTTCAGTGAAGACAAACTTGGTGCCTGGCCCTGGGTCAGAAGATTCAGAGACAGATCAGATGTACACTGACCCTCAGTTTGTCAACTGACTTGGTTTGGAGGAGGCTAGGATAGTGCAGGCAGACTATTGATGACAAACATTTGGGCAGCTACAAGGAGAGCCCCCAAAAAGGAGTCGCTGGGAAACCCTGGAAGGCTTCCCAGAGGAGGTGGCATTGGAACAGGGCCTTGGTTGATAATGTGCTTGCCAGGTAGAGATGAGCCTGGCATTTTCAGTGGAAGGAGCAGCAGGAGTAGAGGCTCTGGGATGGTAAAGGCCTGCTCAGTGAGAGAAATCAGTGGCATTGTCATGAGGATAACAGAGGGTGCAGGGAGGAAAACTGAGGCCCAGAGAGGGGAAGGGATTTGCTCGAAGCAAGTGAGTCTAAGTAAAGCTGAGGTTTGGGCACAGACCTCTTGCCTCCCAGGCCAGCTCTTCCCTCTGCCCAAATTTCAGCCATTCACACCTCCCCAAATTCCACCAAAGCTCAATTTATTTAATTTCATATGGAATGTTTACTTTAAAAGGACTTCTTATCAGGACCATAAGTGGAAAACTAATAAGACTTGCCTTTGTTCAGATTCATCTAAAATAAACATAATGAAAAAAATGTGTTATGAAATTCTAGCTAGAAATGGAGAGCCTGGTCTCTCTTTGTTAAAGGGACTCTGGCAGGTGTGTTAAAGACAATCTGGAAACAAACTGAGCCACTCTCCTCGATAGATTCAGAAGGGCTGAAAGGAAATGGAGAGGGAAGTATGAAGTGTGAAGACTGGCAAACTGTTCCTCATACCCTTCCCCTACTGGGCCTGGTCTCAAACCCTCCCTCCTGACCTCCACACTTTCCCTTGATTCCCCTGCTCCCCCATCCCATCTGATAACTGGACCTCAAAGCTCAGGGCAACCTTGGGAGCCACTCATTGAAGACAGTCCCTAACTTCCCAGTGGAGCAGAGAGCCCCACTCCTGCCTCCACTGACTATATGTCAACTAGAAATAAACTTCTTTGTGTTAAGATCCTGGAATTCCAGGGGTTGTTTGTTACATCAGCTAGCAGTGCCTTAACCAACATAGAACTATTTCCTGTGATTCTGACCTAAAGGCATCTCTGGAGAAGATGCAGGAGAAGGATGCACTTCCAACTTGGGAACTTCTGTGTGAATCCCTTCTTTTCCAGAAGGAAGGGCCACCCACCTTCTTAGGAATCTAAGATGTTGGACAGGCCTGCAGTTGATGAGGGAAAGCCCTTGGCTCAGTACCTCTGATAGCCCCAGCCCCCAGAGAGCCCCCTAACCTTTCTGGGCTCTGTCATATTGGCCACGTGGATGGTGTAGATGCCACTGGTATTGGCCCCGAAGCTCTGGATCTCTGCGCAGTCCTGGAACACCCGCTCAGCTGCAACTGGACGAAGCAAAAACAACTGCAGGTGAGCGAAGAAGAGAGAGAAGAGGCCAGGTGGGCACTCCTGCCTGCTCGGTGCCAGGTTCCTGGTTGGGAGGTGCTGGGGACAGGGAGACGAATCGGACCTGGGAAGGTTTCCTAGAGGAAGTGACAGTGAGCTGGGACCTGGGTAAGGAGCAGGCGTTGCCCAAGTGGCACAGGAGAGGGTGTTCCAGGCAAAGGGAACAGCATGTGCAAAGGCTCCAAGGTGGGAACAGTCCTGGTCTGTGCAGGGAACAGGGCATAGTGAGGGGAACTGAGTGAGGCCGGAGGGGAAATGACTCACACCATACGGACCGGTCTGAGGCCAGAGAAAGCTCTGGTTGTCTGATCTGCCTGAGAGGAGTAGGGCAAGGCTGGCTCAGAGAGGGTCACCAAGGACGGACACATGAGGAGGGATTTGTCCTTGGCGCTCCCTTGGGTGGGAGGCTCAGCGTCCCCTCCATAGGCCACCCCTCCCCCTGGGTATCCCTGCAGCCTGGAGGTGGGCCCCCCATCATGCCCCCACTGTGAGCTGACCACTGGTCTTAGGAGCCCATGTTTCTTCCCTCAGGAGAATATTAGTGACCCAATCCCACTAGCACCCTGGGGGCCTCAAGCCTGATCTGAAAAAAAAAAAAGTGACTGTTGACCAATAGAAAGGGATTAAAATTCCCCTCTCTGCCTCCTTTTAGAGAGGGATCCAATTATAGGCGTGAGCTACGAGTCCTTCAGAATCCAATTTCTAGGTAGGTGGTTATCCAAGGATGGGCTAAAATTCCAGATAGACAGGTATCCTCACCAATGAGGAACCAGGAGGCTACCAGGGGGCAGGACTTCCTGTTTTGGCCTCCTACTTGACCTGGATCCCAGGTCCTGGTGCTGGGGCACGTGTTAGAAAGAAGCAGTTTTCCTAGATCACAGATGAAATGACTAAGGCCCCACACCCACCAGCATGGACATTCCCTGGGCAGATGCCGGGCGACGCAGCAGCTGGTGATGGGTTCAGGTCACCTTGCATCTCAGGGCTTGGCAGGCATCCGCCTCTTCTGCCATGGCCTCCTCAGGTCTCTACCTCCCACCCGCAGGGTCTGCCCGACCGAGATGGAGCCATGGTGCCATCCTGCCCCCAAATAGCTGCCAGCCCCAGTGCCGGGCGTCCAACACTATAGCTAGATTCCTTGTGCTATCAGGCTTTCAGCTTCCCTCATGGCAATCCAGAGGCAGTAGGAACCCTTTTCTGGGTCTTTCTCACCAAGCCATCCTCCACTCCATGGCTCTAATCACGCTTCCTGAAACAGTCCTAGCTGTTCAAGCTGCCCTCGGGTTAAAGTTCCCTTTCCTAGCACAGCCTTCTAGGCCTTTCATGGTCTGCAAAGTTCAGAAACACGACTAGCAGAGCATCTGGCACATAGTAGGCACTCAACAAATACGCATGTTCTTCTCCTTTCCTCAGAGACACACACAGACGGGGTGTGGGGTGGGGTGGGCACTTTTACAAGAGACACAGGCCATGGCTACCTTGTTCACTGCTGTATGCCCAGCACCCAGCCCTGGGCCTGGCGCCCAGGAAGTGTTTGGTGACTGAGTGATTGGACTGGAACCAGGCGTGCCTTGGCCTCCCCCGGTGGACCCGTTAGAAGGAGCCGGTGAGGGACTGAGGAGCAGGCCCAGGCATTGTTCTCCTGCTCAGAAGTCAGGGCCAGAGGTGCCACCTTACTTCTCTTTGGCCCTCGTTGGCTCACGGGCAAGGGTGTTAGGATGAGAGAAGCCTTTGGGGGAACATTGAGTCTAACCTCCCCATTCTACAGGCAGGGAAACTGAGACCCAGCAAGTGGGAATCCTGAAATGCAAAATCGTTCATCTAAGCTGGTGGTGCCCTTGTTATTACCACCATTTCCATTAAACAGATGGGGAAACTGAGGACAAGAGAGGGACAGGGGCATGCCCAGGGTTCCTCGTGGAGTCAGGGAGAAGAGTCTGGATTGGTTCGTTAGGACTGTGGTCACCATTATTATTATTTGTTGCTGTTATTTCTATTCACAGGTGGTGGAGAGGGTGAGGCCTTTCCCTTGGTGGCTTCGAGGCCGAGGCTCGGGAATGAACAGGGAGGGTAAGCAGGATCTGCCCCCCCTCCCACCCCCCCGCCCCCTCGCACCAGGCATACCCTGCTCACGCGGGCCCTGGGCCACGGTGCGCAGCAGGCGCTTCATGGACTCCAGCAGCCGGTCCTGCTGCCTCTGCAGGAGGCTGGAGTTGCTTCTGGCTGCGCGCAGGCTGCGCGCGAGGCCGGCGAGGGCGCCGTTCTGGCGGCTCAGCAGGCTCCCCAGCCGCTCCTTCTCCTGGCGGAGGCTGGCCAGCTGCGCTTGCTGCTGTGTCTCCAGGGCTCGCAGCCGGGTCTCCAGCGCGCTGCGGGGCGGGGCGGGGCGCACAGGGGTGAGCCCGCCTTCCCCACGGGCAGCCACAGTTGGACGCTTTCCCCTGGGTCCCCGGGTGACTCAGCAGGACAGACCCGCGCTGAGGCTCAGAGAGGCAGAGCGTCCAGCCAGAGTTGCAAAGCTCAGAGGCCCGTGGCCCAGAGTGAGAAATGGAGGAGAGAGGGACTCAGTCCTGTAAGAGAGAGCTGGGTCCAGCAGAGGGAGAGGTGGGGCTGGGAGGAACATGCCAGCAAACCAGTAGCCCCCATCAAATCCCAATCTGCTGGCCTTTGGCCCGGCAGCCCCCACTCAGGAAGGACCGTCCAGGAGCAGAGGCCATCGGGGGATTTGTGGTGACAGTAAAACGAAATAGCCCAAGTGCCCAGCAGCCAAGGCTGGCTGAGTCTGTTCTGTCTGCTGTTCCTGGAAATGTTCGGGAGCCACGAAGAGGAGGAGGCAGAATCGCCTGCACAGGATTGGAAGGATGCCCAGGACTTGGCGAGGAACAACCCGGGCACACCAACGCCTCTAGTGTAACCCCACATGCGGGAGAATAAAAGAGAGAGAAAGAAGAAAAGCATTAGTGTAAATGTGGAGGGTTGCAGGTGAACTTGTAGGAAAAGGCACGGAAAAACGTGGAAGGACGCAGTGGTGCGTGCCTGCCTGCGTTGTAGAAAAAGCGAAAGAAAAAGTGAAAGAATCTACTAAGCGCTGTTACTGCCGCAGAGCAGGCTTGAGTGGTGGAGATGGGGGGTGGGGGGGGGAGGAAAAGGGGCTGGGGGAGGGGGCTGGCGTTCCCTTTCATGTTACACAGGTCTCTATTGACTGATGATATAAGCATGAGGCCTTTTTGTAATGAGTTGGAAAAAAAAGTTTTTGAAAGAAAGAGGCTTTTGACGCAGCCCTTCCACGTTTGGCATGTTATCCCACAGATTTGAGACATGGAATGCTGTTTATCGCATCACTGGCTCAACTGCCAAAAATTGGAAACAACCTCAATACCCATTAACTGGGGACGTGGAAATAAATGCAGGGACAGGAGAAGAGAATGAGCAAGGGTGTCATGCACTTATAGAACCATTTCCAGGGTCACTGGGAAAAACCAGCCAACCCCCAAACCAAGGTACAAAAGAGTAGAAGGCCACATTTGGGTTTCAGTAGGGCAAAATTCATACATATTTATATCCACACATTAAATATTCATCTATAAGAAACCTTATTATACCAGCTTTTAGAATGTCAGCTCTACCAGGACTGGGATTTTTGTCTATTTGTTCACTTCTCTAACCCCTGGGTCTATAAATAGTGCCTGACACATGGTAAGAGCTCAAGAAATAATTCCTTCCCCTCCCCCCCAAATATTGTTGGTTGAATGAGGGGGGGGCACACAAAAAACTAAGAACAGTGGCGCCCTCTGCTGCAGGTGGGTGGGTGGCTGAGGGAAAGCGAAAGGAGGGAGAGATTTTCTTATATGTGAGGTCATGCTGACCCATTCTCCAGGCTAAAACACTAAGCCCAGCCAGGGCAGAGGGAATTCCCCCTGGGTCCCTAATTACAGTGGGGCCTTGATTACTCTATCAACTCAATGCAAAAAATCGGCCGAGAGACAGCTGGTATCTCAAAAAACTCGTTAGTCAGGACACTCGTAAGTCAAGGCCCCACTGTATGTTGCAGGAAGAGAGGGAATTTGGGCTCACTCAGATTCTAGAATTTTAGCCATCTCCAAGGGCCAAGAGCTAATTGACGCCACCCATCTGCACTGATTTCTAGGCACCTGGTGCCAATTCAGAATGATGGGAAGCATCCCAGTCTTAGCCCTGCCCCACCTGGGGGTGGGACGGTAAGAATAAGAAGGTGACAAACTATCATTAACTGCACCCAGACCAGAGGGGGCTGGGCGGTCTCGCGGCCTTATCTTGACCCATCGCATGAGCAACAATAACACCTCGCCGTGTGCACAGGCCTGTGGCGGCCTCTGTGTGTGCGTTTTGCCGCCTCCAGCACCCTGACCCTGGCAGTTTTTTCTCTACTCAGCTCGAAACTGAGATGAAATCAGCCTGGGATGTCTGCCTCAGCTATACCCCATGACTCTCTTTTCTTTGTAATTTGAAGGGTGTTCCCTCATATGTATTTGCTGATAAATACAGAGACTCTCTACCGTGCAGACAGGAAATTGGTAACTAACTGTGCTTGCTTCTGGGAAGGGAAATTGGTGAATGAGATCAGATTTATTATTTTTTTTTTTACAAATAAATCAAATGAAGATTTACAGGGTAAGTTGTATGGTACATAAATTGTAGCTCAATAAAGCTGTTAAAAATTTACAAAATATATAAATGGAGAAAGGAAGAAAGGGAGGAAGCAAAGAAGGAAGGAAGGAAGGAAGGAGGGAGAAAGAGTCAGGGTGCCCTGAGCTCCAGGAAAATGCCTGTCCCCACCCAGGCCCTGTACCTGCCTGGCCCCCAGCTCCAGCCTCAGTCCAGCCCCAGTGTCCACCTTCCCTCCAAGGTCAGTCTGGTTTCCAACCCTAATTTTAGTCCATATCACTGCCCTGGCCTAGCCCCAGCTCTAGCTCCAGCCCTAGCCCCCAAATGATGCCTCACTCCAGTCCTAATCTAGGCCTCTAGCTCTGTCCCAGCCCCTGTCCCAGGCGCTAGCCCACATCCAGCTTCCAGCCCTGGCCCTGGCTCCAGCCCAGCCCTGGCCCTCAGCTTGGGCCCCAGCCCCTCTCCTGGCCCGGGGGCACCGCCCACCTGTTGTAGTCCTGTAGCCGGTGGAGCTCAAGGCCCTGCAGAAACAGCTGCTTCTCCAGCTTGTTGGTGGACAGTGAGGTCTCCTGCATCTGGATCTCCATTCTTGATGTCTGGTTCAGTACCTGCCTCGGCGAGCAGGAGGGGGCGGGGGCTACGTAAGCCCTGCAGGAGGCCTTCCCAGCAACTGCCCACCTGCCCACGGGCTCTGCCATCCCAGAAACTTGCTGATCTGTTTTCACCCTCCCCGTAGTTAGTTCCCGTGGTTGTTCATTCATTCATTCACTCATTCACTCACTCACAGGCCCTAACTGAGCTTATGATCTTCATCCTAAATTTGCTCTTCCCATCTCTCACACGGCAGCTC